TGAACTGAAGGTTCAGTTGGAAGATCTGTTGGAGAAACAATTGGTGCGACCGAGTGTATCACCGTGGGGTGCTCTAGTGCTGTTGGTAAAGAAGAAGGATGGGGGTAGTAGACTGTGTGTTGATTATCGACAGCTGAATAAATTGACCATTAAGAACAAGTATCCACTTCCCCGGATAGATGACTTAATGGATCAACTGAGGGGTGCGTCGGTGTTTTCCAAGATTGACTTGAGGTCAGGATATCACCAAATTAGGGTGAAGGAGGGTGACATACCTAAGACTGCTTTCAGGACTAGGTATGGTCACTATGAATATGTTGTGATGCCATTTGGTGTGACCAACGCCCCTGCAGTATTCATGAACTATATGAACCGAATCTTCCGGCCGTTCTTGGATAAATTCGTAGTGGTATTTATTGATGATATCTTGATCTACTCCCGGACCTCGGAGGAGCATGGAGAGCACTTACGGACAGTGTTAGAGATTTTGAAAGCAAAATAACTGTATGCTAAGCTTTCGAAGTGTGAGTTTTGGTTGGATGAGGTGAAGTTCTTGGGCCACGTGATTTCAGCTGAGGGGATTGCCGTCGATCCAGCTAAGGTGGAGTCGGTGTTGCAGTGGGAGCGCCCGAGGACTGTCACAGATATTCGGAGCTTTGTGGGCTTAGCGGGCTACTATCGGAGGTTCATTGAGGGATTCTCTAAGATAGTAGCGCCCCTGACCCAGCTAACTAGGAAGGAGCAGCCATTCATTTGGACTGATTTATGTGAGCAGAGCTTCGTCGAGCTGAAAAGGAGGTTAACCACTTCTCCTGTGCTGGTGTTACCAGACTCTAATGAGTTTTTTGACGTGTACTGTGATGCCTCTCATCAGGGCCTGGGTTGTGTGCTCATGCAAAATGGGAGAGTGGTGGCATATGCTTCAAGGCAACTGAAGATTCATGAGAAGAACTATCCCACTCATGACTGGGAGTTAGCAGCCGTGGTGTTTGCCTTGAAGATCTGGAGACATTATTTATATGGTGCTCGGTTTAACGTCTTCAGTGATCACAAGAGTCTGAAGTACTTGTTTGATCAGAAGGAGTTGAACATGAGACAGAGGCGGTGGATGGAGTTTCTGAAGGATTATGATTTTCAGTTGATGTATCATCCAGGCAAAGCCAATGTGGTGGCAGATGCGTTGAGTAGGAAATCCCTCCACATGTCGAGTATGATGGTAAGAGAGCTGGAGCTGGTTGAGAAGTTCAGGGATTTGAATCTCTGTGTGGAGTTAGCTCAGGATCGCATTAGTTGTGGGACAGTTACCATAACTAATGAGTTCTTGAGGCAGGTTGGACTCAAACAATTGCAGGATGAGGAGCTGGTGAGACTTCTTGGCTTGCTGGGTACCGAGAAAGCTGCTGTTATTCAGCTGTCGATAATCAACACACAGTCTACTACCCCCATCCTTCTTCTTTACCAACAGCACTAGAGCACCCCACGGTGATACACTCGGTCGCACCAATTGTTTCTCCAACAGATCTTCCAACTGAACCTTCAGTTCAACCAGCTCAGCAGGAGCCATTCTATAGGGAGCCACTAACACTGGCCCCGCACCTGGAACCAGGTCTATGCTGAACTCCAGCTCCCTCACAGGAGGTAGTCCTGGCACCTCATCAGGAAATACTTCAGTAAAGTCTCTCACCACCTCAATATCAGCTAAGACCCTCTCGGTTTCTACACTCAAAGCAACAATCAGGAGACAACACTCTGCTCCATTTCTCAGCAATGACTCAACTTGGCCAGCTGAGATCAACAGCTCATCCTCCTTCTGAGGAAAGATCAACCGCCTATTGGCACAATCTATTAGAATGCGATTGGCAGACAACCAATCCATTCCCAAGATTATGTCAATATCCACTAATGGTAAACAAATCAAGTTCACCTTGTACTTTTTCTCATTTACCACAACCGGGCAACCCACACACAACTCAGAAGCAATCACAGAGGCAGAAGCGGGCGTCGACACAAGTAGTCTCAACCCCAAGTCACACACAGGCACACCCAAAATAGCAACACATGCATAAGATATAAAGGAATGCGTAGCACCCGAGTCAAAGACCGGAGGAGCATGGAGAGCACTTACGGACAGTGTTAGAGATTTTGAAAGCAAAATAACTGTATGCTAAGCTTTCGAAGTGTGAGTTTTGGTTGGATGAGGTGAAGTTCTTGGGCCACGTGATTTCAGCTGAGGGGATTGCCGTCGATCCAGCTAAGGTGGAGTCGGTGTTGCAGTGGGAGCGCCCGAGGACTGTCACAGATATTCGGAGCTTTGTGGGCTTAGCGGGCTACTATCGGAGGTTCATTGAGGGATTCTCTAAGATAGTAGCGCCCCTGACCCAGCTAACTAGGAAGGAGCAGCCATTCATTTGGACTGATTTATGTGAGCAGAGCTTCGTCGAGCTGAAAAGGAGGTTAACCACTTCTCCTGTGCTGGTGTTACCAGACTCTGATGAGTCTTTTGACGTGTACTGTGATGCCTCTCATCAGGGCCTGGGGTGTGTGCTCATGCAAAATGGGAGAGTGGTGGCATATGCTTCAAGGCAATTGAAGATTCATGAGAAGAACTATCCCACTCATGACTTGGAGTTAGCAGCCGTGGTGTTTGCCTTGAAGATCTGGAGACATTATTTATATGGTGCTCGGTTCAGCGTCTTCAGTGATCACAAGAGTCTGAAGTACTTGTTTGATCAGAAGGAGCTGAACATGAGGCAGAGGCGG